AAAAAAAAAAAAAAAAAAAAAAAAAAAAAAAAAAAAAAAAAACCTCCAGGGGAAACCAAAACCTCTGTATAGTCTCCAGGATACAGTTTTGAAAACTATTGGTATCTGTGTACAACAGGCCACCTGCAAGTAACATGATAAAGCCATAGAGACCACAGAATGTTCCCTCTCAGCACTGACCAATGAGAATAATTGATACACAGGTATTTCATGCCAAAATATGACTTTGAGAAATTTCTTGATTGTTCCCTAAATGCCAACCAATCAGAAACCAACCTGTACCTACTGATGTAACCCTGTGACTTTTGTCTTTGAAACCTAGCAATAGACAGGGAGCTTCATCCCCTCTGGAGGCTGCTGTGTCAGCTTGCTAGATGGGATCCCTCCCACTGTAGAATTAGAATAATCAATAAACCTCATACATTTGCATCAGTGGTCTGTCTCCCTGGTCTCTTTGGGGATCCTTGTGACTTGGGCACAACAAGGCCTAGAGAGATGGCTCAGGGGCTCAGGGCATTCAGTGGCTGCTCTTCCAGAGGTCCTGAGTTCAGTTCCCATCACCCACATGGCAGCCCACGACCATCTAGAATGGAATCCGATGTCCTCTTCCGGTGTGCAGAGGTACACGAAGACAAAGCGCACATATACATAAAATACATACATAAATAGAACTGTACAAGAACAGAAAAATGAGGCCCTGGGGAAGATCATCAAGAGATCTGGGTACACTCGATAGGGACAAAGGTAAGCAGAATCCATGCCATCTCCTCTTCTATCCTATGCTCCAGTGATTGTGGGGGCATTTGCCTATTGTGGGCCAGATACTCTGCTATGTGACTCATTCTTCAAACTCCACTGAAGTAACTGTTACTCTAACTTTTAAGTTTTCGAGGGTCAGGCCAGCCTCAGAATTACTACATAGGCATGGTGACCTGGAGCTGCTCATACTGCTGTCATAAACCTGAGATTTGGGATTACATGTATGTACCACCATGCCTCGATTACATGTATTTATCACCACTCCAGTTTATGTGCTGGGGATCTAACCTAGGGGCTTTGTGTTGCCAAGCAGCCAACTTGCTACATCACTAGCCAATCCTTATTTATTCAAAAATGCCTGAAAGTCACCAAAAATAACTTAGGTTCACCTAATTAGTAAACAGTAAAACAGATTGAAATCCACTTCTATTTCCGAGTTTCAGTTCCATGCTATGCTCTATTTGTGGTAAGTGAAAATGAGAAGAAAAGGCTTTCTGGGATGGGTGTGCTGGTATATACCTTTGATCCCAGCACTCGGGAGGCAGAGGCAGTCAGATCTCTGTGAGTTAAAGGCCAGCCTGGTCTATAAGAGCTAGTTCCAGGACAGCCTCCAAAGCCAACAAAGAAACCCTGTCTTGAAACAAAAACAAAACTAAGATTTACAACCCTGAATCTCTTAGAAATAAATGACTGGGCAGGCACACCACTCTGCACAGCCCAAGACCACGAATTACCCTGTGAGCTGAGACTGCTCCAGAGGCACGGACAGGGTTAGCATGAGTAGAGTATGAGTCTTCCATGGCCCTCACATTTCAGGGTACACTGATTCCTTCCATTGAGGGCCGTGACTGAATGAACATACCAGCTGAAGAACCCACAGGGAATGAACTGTTCTCTCTTTACAAACCAGGTTCAAGGTAGGCATCCCCTTCTGAGAGCTAACATCAAGTAGAAATTGTTACAACACAGTAGCATAAATCCCAACTTCCTTATATACAAATGCACAGGTCACACACTTGGTATGCTATTAAAAATAATTTATTATTCATGTATACTATTACTCACGTTGTTCAAAATATCAAAGTGCTTCAGTCAGACACAACCACTTGGAATTATAAATAAATTATAGATGCCCTTCTAGTTATTCCCTGAATTCGTGAGATCGCAATGTTGGCCCTCCACAGACCATTCTGGTTTATTACTTCCCCACTGTTTCTTCTTCTGGGGGGTATGAAAAGGAAGGTGACACAGCTATGCCATCAAGAACAGCTACTTAGCTGGGTGGTGGTGATCCACGCCTTTAATCCTAGCACTTGGGAGGCAGAGGCAGGTGCACCTTAGTTCAACCTACAATCCTGGTTCCAGTACAGCCAGGACTATTACAGAGAAACCCTATCTCAGAAAAAATAAAAATAAATAAAACTTAAAAAAAAAAAAAAACAGCTATTTTTTGAAAGTCTTTCTTGTGGGGGAGGGCAGCTCTCATGGACCCAAGGATGCTGACAGCTGGTCTGTAAACAGCATGGTGCAGCAGTGGACGGGCCTGTAGACATTGCTTTGCTGCCCTCTAGAGGCCAAACCCATAAACTTCCGTTAGTCTGAAGGTCAGGGAAGAATCCTTAGGGATCTGAAAAGAATCAAACAAGTTAATACCAATGGGGAGAAAGAAATGGTTGTAAATGTCAACCTACCCTTTAAAAACCCAGGGTGGAGCAGGCACATTGGCACACGCCTTTAATGCCAGCCCTCTGGAGGCAGAGGCAGGCGGATCTCTCTGATTTCGAGGCCGGCCTGGTCTACAGAGTGAGTTCCAGGACGGGCTCCAAAGCTACACAGAGAAACCCTGTCTCAAAAAAACAAAACAAAAAAGAAAGAAAGAGGGGGAGGGAGGGGAAAAGGGTGGGAAGATGGAGGGAGAGAGGGAGAAGAAGAAGAAGAAGAAGAAGAAGAAGAAGAAGAAGAAGAAGAAGAAGAAGCCACCAACAACAACACAGGACTGGAGAGATAGCTCAGCCTTCATGAGCATTTGCTGCTCCCAAAGAGGACCTGCTTTGGTCCTCTTTGCAGTGCCCATGTAGTAGATTACAACCTGCAACTCCAGTGCCAAGGAATTTGATGCCCTCTTCTGGCCTCTGTGGGCCATGCATGAATATGTTGTACAGACATAATAGCCAAGCAAAACATCATACACAAAAATTAAAAATAGGGGCTGGAGAGATGGCTCAGAGGTTAAGAGCACTGGCTGCTCTTCCAGAGGTCCTGAGTTCAATTCCCAGCAACCACATGGTGGCTCACAACCATCTATAATGAGATCTGGTGCCCTCTTCTGGCCTGCAGGCAAAATACTGTATACATAATAAATAAATCTTGAAAAAAAATTAAAAATAGTCCATTAACAGGACAATAGAAAATATAAAATAAAAATAGGATAAAAACAAAAACAGTAAAAATCTCATCCACTCTATTTTTTAGTTAAAAAATAAAAGGCCATAATGTTAAGCCTAGAATAGTCTCTTTTCTCATCCACCTGACTCCTCAGTCTAATGGGAAGCTGAATCTGTCATCTAGATTTTGTTGTTTTTGTTGTTTGGAGTTAGGGTCTCATACCTGTGGCCTAATCTAACCTAGAAACCACTATGTATGGAGACTACCCCTGAGCTACAGGCCACCCTCTTCAATCAGCCTCCTGAGGGCTGGGATCACAAGCATGAACCGATATGCCAGGCTAGACCCTTCCGTCTGAGAAGACATCTACCTTTAGCAACAGGACTCAACGGACAGTCCATTTGTAGCTTTTGAGCATCAGTCCTCAGTCACTGTGGGTCTATTAAAGGCAGCAACTCCCCACAGCGGGAGTCCAGCTTCAGACAAGCCAAGTCATCCGACCTAGTGGGCCCAATGTTCAGGATGGCGATTGGGAGCTTCTTCTCCCGGGCGGTAAGGATGAACCTGTAGCCAGAGTACACCTGCCCAAACGGAAGACAGAGTGTTTGCTCTAGGTCCAGGAAAAGAATCATTCCATAAACTCAGAAACAAAACAAAAACAAAAGAAAAAAAAAAAGATGAAAATGAGCTGAGGGGCCGGTGAGATAGCTCAGTGGGTAAAGGTGCTTTGGAACCATGCCAGATGGTGTGAGCTCAGTTACCAAAACCCACAATGAAAGGTGAGAACTAACCCCCCACAGGTTGTCCTCTGACCTACACACACACACACACACACACATCAACCATCTACAAAGGGGTAATCATGCTTGGGAAATGGTTCACTAGGTGAAGTTCTTGCTATCCAAGTGAGATCAGATTCCCAGAATCCATGTAAACCCATCCAGTGATGGTGGTCATCACGTGTAATCCCAGTGCCCACAGAGGAAACAACAGGGCTCCTAGGAGCTCACTGACCAGCCACCATAGCCATTCCATGACCTAAGTTCAGTGAGAGACTGTCTCAAAAATTATGCCAGGGGCTGGAGAGATGACTTAATGGTTAAGAGCATTTGTTGCTCTTACAGAGGACCCAGGTTCAGTTCCCAGCACCCAGGGCTGTTGAAACCCTGTCACAAAACAAAAACAAAAAAATCTAAGGCAGACAGCAACAGAAGACATCCAACACTGACACACCTGCATACACATGTGGAAATTCATGACTACACATGCGCACTCACACTCACACACAAACACCAAATAAGAGGGAACCGCTAGGATTTCTCACCCTGTAAAACAGGCAAGGGCACCCGCCACACTGATGGAGTCAGGTACCTGCAGGGACGATCCGACCACCAGCAGGGAATCAGCCTCTTTCACACGCCTGTGCACAAAGTCAACCTTGTCTGGCTTCACTGTGTCCCCAAAGAAAACGACATCTGGTTTCAGAGGGCCACCGCATCGATCACAGGACGGGACCTGAAAGCTCCGGACCTGCTCCTCCGTGAGGAACACATCACCGTCGGGGGCCACACCCTGCGCCTCAGCGCTCCAGCTGGGGTTCAGGACTTGGAAGCGTTCCTGCAGCACCCTGCGGGGAGTCTGTTCCCCACAGTTCAGGCACAGGACTCTAAAAGCAAATATGAGACCTGCTGAGTATAGTTCCTGGGAGGGATAACTCGGGCAGAGCAGACCCAACCATTTTTAACTCCCTACAGAAAAAAGGCACTTTCTCTTCCTAGTAGGACAGCCATGCTCATCTTCATCTTCTCCTTTGCAACCTCTAGAGCAGTGGTTCTCAACCTGTGGGTCGAAGCCCTTTGGGAGACCTTTTTTTTTTTTAAGATTTTATTTATCTATTATGTATACAACATTCTGCTTCCATGTACGTCTGCACACCAGAAGAGGGCACCAGATCTCATAACGGATGGTTGTGAGCCACTACGTGGGTTGCTGGGAATTGAATTCAGGACCTCTGGAAGAGCAGTCAGTGCTCTTAACCTCTGAGCCATCTCTCCAGCCCTGGGACAGCTTTTTCACAGGGTGTTGCATAGCAGATATCCTGCACATCAGATATTTAAGTTATGATTCATAACCATACAAAAGTGTAGTCATGAAGTAGCAACAAACATAACGCCATGGTTGGGGGTCACCACAACGTGAGGAGCTGCATTAAAGGGTCACAGCCTGAGGATTGTTGAGAGCCACTGGGCTAGACCAACCATGGACTGAACTCATGTTTGTTTACTCCATTTGCATTTTGCCAGCTTGGATTTGTCCTTAAAGAATCCACACATGCGGGCTGGAGAGATGGCTCAGAGGTTAAGAGCACCGACTGCTCTTCCAGAGGTCCTGGGTTCAATTCCCAGCAACCACATGATGAATCACAACCATCTGTAATGAGATCTGGTGCCCTCTTCTGGTGTGCAGATATACATGGAAGCAGAGTGTTGTACACATAATAAATAAAATCTTAAAAAAAAAAAAAAAAAAAGAATCCACACATGCTCTGCTTTTCCTTAGTACTCAAACCCATACCCCCTCCACACTAGTTCTGCAGTCACTGTCACTATCACTCCCTGTGAACACACCTTTGGAAGGGTGGAGACACAGCTGTTTGACAGAGTGCTTGCCTCGTATACACAAAGCCCTGGGGGTTGGATCCCTAGCAGCTCACAGACATGGTATGGTGTCCCACAATCATAACCCCAGCAGCCAGGAGATGGAGGCAGGAGGATCAGAAACTCAAGGCTGGGTCAAGGAAGATGTCTCACTTGGAGAAGTGTTTGCTATGCACATGTGAGAACCTAGGTTCAGAAGCCCCGTGTAAAAGGGAAAGCCTGTCACCTCAACTCTGGGGAAAGCAGCGACAGGGGGATACCTGAGACTTGCCAGCTGATGGTTTTGGTGGAGATGACTGAGGAAAGATACTCGCTTCCACCTCTGGTCCCCACATATGCATATACACCCAAATATACACAAACACAAAGTGTCGAGGTCATCCACAGCCACACAGCAAGTTCCAGAGCAGCCGGGAATGCAGGAGGCCCCGTCTCAAAAAGAAAAAAAAAAAAAAAAAAAAACAGGAGTCTGGGGGTGATAGGGTCACACACCTTTATTCCCAGCACCCTGGGAGGCAGAGGCAGGTAGATCTCTGGGAGTCTGAGGCCAGCCTGGTCTACATAGTGAGTTACAGGTTACCCAAGGCTATGACACAGAGAGTCTGTCTCCATATAAACAAACAAACAAATAAGAAGAAAGGAGAAGTGACCACGTCAGGGAGTTAATTCCCCAACTGTGGTGCTGGACCAAGATGGGATTGGAGATGGTTCGTTAACACCCTAGCTTTCTTTACTTTTGGTGAAATAATTCTTTTTCTCAACCCAAACTCAGGGATGACAATACTACTCACCACCTCATGGTGGCTCTTTCTGTACAGTTGCAATAACTCTGAATTATATTCTAGACTAGGAGTCACTGCAGGAGGCAGCCCCACTCACATGATTTCTCCTGCTGCTAGGAAACCAAACCCAGAGGTGGTGCAGCACATGCCAGGGCTGCACCAAGAGCACCAGACAGACAGACAGCACCCTTGTTTGGCTTGCTCCCTTTCCTGTTTCTGTTCCTACCTCCCCTCTCAGTTCACTAGACCTAACTCCAAAGTCAACACTTGCTGAGGAAGCCTTTGTTCTGGAACTAAGACAACCCTGGTCAAGACAGCCAAAGGCCCTTCGCCTGGGGAACCACGTGTCCTCTGATGGCCAAACCCATACACTCCAGCACCTGTGCATGCATCCATGGAGCTCTGTCAGCCGCCGATTCCCCGCCTTGGAGTGCAGAGCATCGACATTCTGCGTCACCAACCAGTGCAGCTTCCCAAGTTTCTCCCAGTTGCTCAAGGCCCAGTGTGCTGGGTTGGGTTGGTGAGAGGAGAACTGCGGCCAGCCCACAAAGTTTCTGGCCCAGTACCGCTGGCGGACGGGAGCACTACGGATAAAATCGATGTGTTGGATGGGTCTCCGGTCAGTGCGGGCGTAGAGACCCACCTTTTCCGACCTGTAGTCTGGGATCCCAGACTCGGTGGAGATTCCTGCGCCTGTCATCACTATAAGTTTCTTGGAAAGGGTAATGAAGCGCTGTAACTCTTTGATCTTCTCAGGGTCCAAAGGAGGGCTTGGCGGCACAAATAACCCAGTAGGTCTGTGAGAACGCGGCCTGCTGAGGTTTGTCATCCAATGGCCCTTTGTTGACCTGAAAGTCAATCGGCTCATTCTCCTTCTAGAGAAAAAGAAATCCATGAGAGGAGCTGGGTTTTACCAAGAAAGTTAACCACCAACTTAGGGATGCATAAAAATGTGGCTACCCACTTCGGGAATACATTCAGCTATGAAAATTTCCCAGGATGGCCCTTCCTGGAATTGCAGCACTCGGGAGATGGAAGCAGCCAGGTTATGGGCTATTCTCAGCTTTCAAGAGACCAGTCTGTCCTATACTCAAAGGAGAGAGAGACAAATAGTACATGGGAGGGAGGGGGGAATGGAAAGATGGCTCAGAGGTTAACGACACATGGTGTTCTTCCAAAGGACCAGACTTAAATTCCAAGCACCCACATGGTGGCTCACAGTGATCTGTAATTCCAGTTTCAAGTGATCAGACACCCTCTTCTGACCTCTGCAGGCATCGGGAACAAAACTGGTACACAAATATATGTGCAGGTAAAATATCCAAACACATAAAATTTAATTTAAAATTTTTTTAATATTTTAAAAACGACCCTCCCCCATTGGAGCCCTGTCTGTCCTGGAACTCGCTCTGTAGACCAGGCTGGCTCAAACTCACAGAGATCCGCCTGCCTCTGCCTCCCGAGTGCTGGGATTGAAGGCGTGCAGCATCACGCCCGACTATTTTCTATATTTTTGTTCATATTATCCCTCAATGGACTATTTGTTCTATAACCCTACTTGGTTTGAATCTGAATTCTTTTCTTTTCTTTTCTTTTCTTGAGACAGGGTTAGCCCAGGCCAAGGATTACAGGGCACACACAGCTAAACCAGAATGATCTTATTTCTCCTTGAGACATTTAATTCTAGTAGATAAGGTTTTTGGTTTTGTTTTGTTTATTTTGTTTTGTATTCCTACATGGTGCTGGGTATCAAACCCGGGGCCTCTGCGACACAGCTATATGATATGGAGTGATATTCTATCACTCCAGCCCAATATGGCAGGTTTTCAGGACGTTGACCTGATCTTTCAGACTTCTGATTTTATTCGTGCCTTCCCATACATACCTTAATTCCTTCATTTCCCCCATAACATGTTTAGTGTGCATCGTAAATTCTGCTATTTGAACACAGAAGACACACACACACACACACACACACACACACACACACACACACACACGCTTGCCTGTCAAGTTTTCTAGTTGTAAAAACAAGCCTTTGACATAGGCTTTGATATAATGCAAAAATTACCTAGCGGTTTCCTACACTTGAGCTCAGGACCCGGCTTTCTCCGTGACATTCCGCAACTGCATGTGAAAAGCTAAACAAACAGTCGGGTTTTTCTGGGACACGCTGTTTTCCTCCGTGTACCCCACAAGAACAAAGAGGACAAATGGAATCCCTCGTAAAATTCAAAGCTGAAAACCTAAAGACGGATCAGAACACTTACCCACCACAATTTTCACCCAACAGTGGGACTATCTTGCTGTGTGTGCATCTTGGGAAGTGTAGTCCATGAAAGCAGACATAATTGGAAGAAAACTACAAGTCCCACAATGCTGCGGGTCTCCCACTTTAAGGTCCTACCGCGGTCGTCCCCTGACTTCCGTTTGTCTTTCCTGGTCCTCTCAGTTACAGTTCCGGATGTGCTGCTGACACCTGAGACAATGAGTGCGTTTTGGTGTTTTTGTGTTTGGTTGGTTGGTTGGTCTTTCTATGTTGTGTTGTTTTTTTGAGACAGGGTCTCATGCAGCCGGCTATGACTCCAAATTCCTGATCTCCTGACTCCATCCCACAAATACCAGGTTACAGGCTAGTGCCACCATGCCCGGCAAATAAATGATTAGTTTCCAATGTCCTGCGAGCAAAATGGCATCTAAACAGCCCTACTTTAGGAATTCATTCTATTTTTGTTTGTTTGTTTGTTTGTTTGTTTGAGGCAGGGTTTCTCTTTGAATCTCTGGCTGTCCTGCAACTCAGTATATATACCAGGCCGGCCTCCTCGAACTCAGAGATCTGCTTGCCTCCTCTTGAGTGCTGGGACTAAAGGCGTATGCCAGCATGCCCACCTAAAAGACACTTAATAATATAAAATTGACTTGTTTTCTTCCTTTCTTTATGTTTTGGCGTGTTTTTTTTCTTTTTGTTTTTTCTTGTTTTGTTGTTTGAAACAGGGTTTTACTATGTAGCCTTGACTGGCCTGGAACTTGTTACGTAGACCAATTTTAACCTCGGACTCACAGGGATTCACCTGCCTTAGCCTCCCCAGAACTGTGATTAAAGGCATGTGCCACCAAGGTTGACAGAACTGACTCGCTTTCCTCTTCCATTGCAAAGTAATTAAATTCCCTGCTATGAGTTAAACATAGTTTGGGGCCTGCCAGGTGGCTCAGCAGGTAAAGGCTTGCTGCACAGACCTGGCAACCTGAATCTGATCCCTGGGACCCACATAAGGGTGGAAGAAGAGAATTGACTCCACAAAGTTGTCCTTTGCCCCACATGTGCACACATTTTTATTCTTAAAAAAAAAATGGATTATGGGTGCTAGAGGGATGACTCTGTGATCCAGAATTGCTGCTGAAGCATGAGGATGTGAATGTGGATTCCAGCACCACATAACCTGCCATGCCAGCACAGAGGGGAGCAGAGAGAAACAGGATTTCGGGGCTTGCTTGCTCTCAGCCTGGCGGAAGGATTTGAGCTCAGTGTTTAGTGGGAATTTGCCTCAAAAAGAATAAAGTAGGGGGAACCCCAACATTCCACTGTGGCCTCCACTGGCTCCCCTACACATATGCACACATGACACACACACACAATCAATAAGGATTATGAAGAAATATGTCCATAAATTTGAAAAATGGAGTTTTTTTAAGTCAATATGAGCAAAGCTAAGTATAAAACATAGAGGCTTATTCACTCATTCTCTTGGCCAGAAAGCACACAGATCCACCAGCCTCTGCCTCCCAAGTGCTGGGATCAAAGGCTCAGCTACTGTTGGATTTCTTTTTCAAGACAGAGTTTCTCTGTGTAACAGTCCTAGCACTCAATCTGTAGACCAGGTTGACCTCCAGCTAACAAGAGATCCAACAGCCTCTGACTCCTGAATGCTGGGATTAAAGGCATGAGCCACCAGCTATACTGTTTGAATTTTAATAAACGGCGAACATCAAATAAATATGGACAACTTCCCTCGGGGAAGAAGTTCAGACACAGGTTATGAACAGCTTTCCACTCGACAAAGTAAAGCAGGCAGAGAAATTTACTTCACATTTTATACGCTGCAGCATTTCTGGGGGATAAAGCCACTTAACCTCTCTCCTCAGAATTAAAGTATTTTCACAAAAGGATTAGGAAGTCCATCATGCACAAACCGTGGGTTTCAATCCTCATACCATAAAGGGAGGGCTTGGATGTGGTGGCCTTTAATCTTTGGCACTTGGATGAATTCAATCCCTGGGACCCACAGAGTGGAAGGGGAGGACTCCCTCCACAAGTTGTCCTCAGATATACACACACATACACAGGAAAATAAATAAATGTAATAAAAAAAAACAATTGAAAACAGGAGCTCAAACTGATAGTTGCACACCAATATCAGCATTAGTTATGTTAGACAAAAGGTTCAAACCCAAATGTACAGCTAATGAGGATTATTCAATGTGTCATTATTGCTAATTGAAGAATGAAGAGGTAAACGAAATCCCATTACATGGGAAATTATTGAGCCATAAGAAGGCATGAAATCCAGATGTGTATTACAATATGGATGAGTCATAAAAATATTACAGTAGGCCTGGTGGTGTTGGCACATGTCTTTAATCCCAGACTTGGGAGGCAGAGGGATGCACATACAAAAAGTTGCAGTAAGGGACTGGAGAGAGATGGTTCAGTTGTCAAAGCACTGGCTGTTCTTGTAGAGTATGTGGGCTTGGTTCCCAGCTCCCACATGGTGGCTCACAAACCACTGTGACTACTCCAGGATATCTGAGTTCCTCTTCTGACCTCCACAGTCATTCCCAGGAGGCATATATGTGGAAGAAAAACACTCATACACATAAATCTCTCAATCTCTCTCTCTCTCTCTCTCTCTCTCTCTCTCTCTCTCTCTCGTCTTTGCTGACCTCGAACTCAAGAGAAATGCACCTGCCTTTGGCCTCCCAAATACTAGGATTAAAGGTGTGTGCCACCGCGCCCAACTTTAAAATTATTCTTACAGCAAGAGAAACGCAGTCGTTAATTGTTTTCAGTTATGTAAAGTATCTAGAGTGTGAGTGGTTGCACGAAAAGGGACTAGAGAGCTCAGAGTTCAATGCCTACAAAGTTTTAGTTTGGGAAGATCGAAAGGTTCTGGAGATGTAATGTGAATACAATCAACGACACTAAATTTACCCTTAATATAGTTAAAACTACATTTTATGTTACATAGACTTTACACACATACTTTATCCTGTATAAAAATCATAAACAAGGGGGGAGGGGAGTGGGAGGGAGAAGGGATTGACATCTGAAGCAAGCTTGTTCCTAATTTGAACTAATAAAATAAAATAAAATGAATCATAAAAAAGCAAGCCTCCTTGCAAAAGATGGTAACATTTAGCCAAAGGAACACCTTGACTCCGGCCCTTTTCTCCAATTGCCGCTTGCACGCTCCGAACTGACTCTATTAGCATATTCGCTCCCATAGTGCTTTGCTGCATGTCTATGCCACGCCACACACGTGAACCTATTTAAACAACCAGTTATATCCCTCCTACGTATCACACAGAAAGCACCAAAAGATTGTACTAGGCGGTATAATTTTCAGACTAACAATAATTGAAGGTTTTTCCATTCGACCGAAAACCCCCTCTTTGAAATAGGACCCGCACTTCCTAGGCATGATGCCCAGGGCGGGGCAGTCTTTAGCTTTGCGCAGTGGCAGTATCGTAGCCAATGAGGTTTATCCGAGGCGCGATTATTGCTAATTGAAAACTTTTCCCAATACCCCGCCGTGACGACTTGCAATATAGTCGGCATTGGCAATTTTTGACAGTCTCTACGGAGACTGAATAATTGTGGTTTAAAGAAAAACTATTTTAGTTCTACTTTGTGAGTGCTCTCTTGCAAAACTTCGCCACGTTACCCAACATTGTTTCCTTTCTGAACAGTTAATTTCTTTCTCTGTGCTTTTGTTGCTTTTAAAGTTTATGTACATCGGTGCATGTATGTGTGAGTATCTTGCAGTTATAAACAGTTGTTAGCTGTCATGTGGGTACTAGAAATTCACTGCTCAACCACTGCGCCATCTCTCCAGCTCCTGTTTTCTTTTCCTTTTTTTCTATCTCTAATCTGTTAACGTTTTCTGCTCACGGTATCTCTAGGTGTTAGCGTAGCAAGGTTTACGTCTTCAGTTATTTTCTCAAAAGTATCGTCACAACCACGCCCTCCCTCGTTCCTCCTTCCCCCCATCCGTTCGTTTAACTCAAGTCTCAGTTTTATTGAGAGATCTCTCACTTTGTATCCCTGTATGGCTGACAACTCGCAGCAATCCTCCCTCCGGGTCTCACTACTTCTTGGGTACATTCTCAACTCATGCTTCATTTAGCCCAAGCTGATTTTTCAGTGAATACAGCATCAAATAGATATCTGTCCGGAAGTAAAATTCAAATTCCCTTTGCAGTGAGGACCTTTTGTTTTCTAGCTTTCTACAATTTGAACTCTTTGGTGTTCAGTTGGAGGACAAGTTCATAGGCTGACTTTTTCCAGGGGCTGAATGATGTGGTATCTTTCTACTCTACCTGCTTTTCTCTGTCTCCATCATCTGCAAGAGAAGATGGCAGTGTGGGGATCACTGACGAATGTCTGCTGGAGCATGGCCTACAGAGCCCACCCCCACTGACTCCCAGAGCCTGCCCCCACCTACTCATAGTGCTCTAGCTCTGACATGTTTAAAGTTTGACCTCTGACTAAACACCATGGTGCAAATTCCACACTCAGACACTGCTGTTGACCATTCTGAAACAGTTTGGGATTGCCATCTCTTTTAAATACCATTGCTACTAAATAGAAAGTCTTCAGACAAGTTACTTTTGTACTAAGTTTTCTTCTTAGTTCATAATTTCTAAGAGAGAGAGAGACAGAGAGACAGAGAGAGAAGGGAGAGAGGGAGAGAGAGGGGAAGAGAGGGGGAGAGAGGGAGGGGGGGAGAAGAGAGAGAGAGAGAGAGAAAGAGAGAGAGAGAGATGGTCTATAAGTATCTGTTAAGTCCATTTGATTTATAACATCAGTTAGCGCCAGAATTTTTCTCATTAGTTTTTGTCTAGATGACCTGTCCATTGGTTAAGAGTTGGGTATTGAAGTGTTCTACTATCACTTTGGTAGGGTCAGTACCCTCCCAAGGTGTTGCAATGTTTATTTTATGAACTTTTCATCTCTTATGCTTGGA